AAATTTCTCGGGTAAATTAAAATTATAAATAATTTTATTCTCAATTTATTTCAAATTTCTGTCGGGTGTTCTTAGTCCGTGGAAAAAATTATCTTTAGAACTTCGATAAAATTTCCACACGTTAAGCCACAAAGCCACGTCAAGGCGACACCCATTTTGTGGTAGTTTTTTGATTTCCAGAAACTGACCCCGATTGCTCGACAGAATAACAATCGGGGAATAAAACTGGATATTCGTTGCTATTCCATTCATTCGGTGAACTAAAATGAACCACGTAAATTTAATTCTTATGTCATTTTCTTCCCACTTTCCAATTAAATAAGGTAAATTGTCAGTACAGATTTTTATTTGAAAATAAACATAGCAACGAATAAAAGATTAAAATCTAAATAACTAGAAACTATTGATATTGTATATGAAAATATATACTACAAAATTATTATATTGTGACAGAGACGCTATTGCTTAACCCTTTTGCTACCATTTTTTTGCGTTCTAAAGCTGTTTTTATTTTTAAATAATGATATGTGTAAATAAAAGAAATCCGTTGTAATTCTTGCGAAATTCTACTTCCTGGTCCTTTGTTCCACTGGCGTCTTCCTGTAAATCCCAGTAGTTCTGAAAACAAGAGTTATATAGTGAAACGAATGATGAGTAACAAATGAATTCAAATTAATTTATTTAAGATAATAACAAGACTTGTGAATAATATGGTTCAGAACATATACAAAGGGTTATTACACATTGTACACAATGCAGCTGTTGTTTTTCAATTTTCGGTTCTAAACGTCTATCCTTCTGTTGTTTCTTTCAACTGAAGGTGATCTGCAATGTTGCCCATTGTTTTCGTTATCTGAAAAAGCTGCCCAGATCATTTCATACTTTCAACTTTTGCTGCAGCCATTATATTTTATGCCAAAAAGAAGAGATATTTTAACAAGAACATATCTGTAGAGGATCCATGCGTTTAATACTGCTATCGTAAGCAGTTTAAAGAGTACCTATTTTTTTCACAAATTTTGACAGTAGAATCTAACTTGTAGACACTGACATATGGGTTTGTCACACAAACCCACTCCCGTCATACAATCATTAATAATGCAATTGCCTTTGGACACAGGCTAGGTAAACTTTTAGCAGCTTTTTCACTGTTACTCACAGATGTACGTACTGTACTTTCTAGATTTTATCAATTCCTAAATAATATGATTTTCTTACTGTTTATCCATAAAGATGCTAATATTCTTGCGTTATCATACGAGAATTCAATTTCTTTTTTTAAGCTTGCTTACAACTTTTGGCATCATTTTCCACTTAATCATAAGAGTGCTAGCAGCGGAAAATCTTATTGTATTCATTAACATTACTGTTGTAGAAAACAGACGAACTCTAAGAATACAACAGGACTGTTTATAGTAGAAAACAGTTTCGGAGCACTTTCTGTTGTAAGATTGTTTGTTAAATCCTCAGACGATAAATCAGAAATGATTTCAGATAATAACATTTTATTTGTTAGATCTTGAGGAAATTTTCCATTCGAAGTTACTGTATTTAGTCTGAAAATAAATTCGAATTGAATGAAAAATTACGTTATAAACAAAGTATTATCAGAGCATTGAGATAAATATGTCACGTTTTGAAATGTCAATGCGACATATTTATCTGAAATGTGAAATAAAGTGTATTGTTTTCTTACCGTGGATCTCAGATTGTGAAGAACACTCGTCACACGGGAATTCAGAAATATCAATACGATTTCTAACTGTACGAAAAACACTTTCAATTATCGCACGAAAAACGAAAAACGCATGTTCAGACAGAAACAATGAGTAATTCAACTATAACAGTTGCGTTAGTGGTGCAGCCGCTACAGAAATAATGGATAAATACATATCTAAAATTCCCAACCAATGTGCAATCCAGTAAGATTTGCCAGTGTCCGAGACACGTGATTCGTTGGTAGCAAAAAGGTTAAGGTTCATTCGCACTATTTCCCTCTTTAGTACAAAAAAGACTAAAGTTCTTAGCGTACAGAACGTGACGCACGGGCTAGAGCATATGATGCAAAAGCGAAATGCCTTACTAAACGGCATGCAATAATGTGAATGTGGTCCAGCATGTTTAACGTTGTGTTAATAAAAGTAAAATTGTGAAGTAGTTTAAAAAACATATAGATTCCGTTATTTAACATATAAATTAACATTGGTATTATGATAAATTATACTTAACTCTTGTGTTTTATTGAGAGTGTTTTGGCGTGGAGTTGCTCTTATCGTGGCTAACTACTGAAAATTGGCCTTTATTACGGATAAGTTTGTCAAATGCAATAAATTTGTTAAACGGGATAATGTCAAAGAAAAAAAGAAGTTTTTAAGAAGAGTGTTATTTGTTACCAAGAACACCTCCAGGTAAACGTTTTCCTTCTTGCTCCTCCGGAAGTGCTGTTAAAGTGAGCGACACTAGTAAGTATTTGGATCAATAATAATTTATAAAAGAAATAAGATGTATGTTAAGCGAAATAAAAAATGCTTTAGAATGAAAAATAGACACGGAATTGCGTTTAATAAAAGTCAATTTCGTGGAAATGATTAACAAGATTAATATATTGACAGAAAGAATTAATAAATTAGAATCCGTTCATGACTGCTGTATTGATTGTAGCAATATGCAGTTTATTACTGATTTATGTAAAAGAGTCAGTTACAATTAAAAGTAAGCTAAGAAATAAAAATTTATATTAATGTAGAGACGAAAAATAGAGAAAATTTATTCGATACAGTATCGAAGCTATTTAGGAAAGATGCTGGTTTATCGAATGTCTTTCTTGATTGTGTTAGACTTACAAAAAATATCAGTAAGAATTCGGTGGTTTCGGTTAAATGTATTTCTTTGGCAGCGAAAAGAACAATAACGAAAAGTTGGAAGTGTAATTGTAATAAATTTCCTGTCTGTGACTGGAGAAAGGCAAGCCGCATACGAAGGGATCTCTCCGTTGAATGTAGGGAGAAGAACAAAGAACGTTATGGATAATTTAATACAGGCCAGAAAAGAGGGAAAAATCGCATATTTTACAGGTGATAAATTGGTAATAACTGAAAACTTTCCTAACGTTGCCGGGGATAAAAATGAGAATAATTGTGTTAGCGATTATTTTTAGGAGTAAGCATGATACATTAAAATTTCTTAGTTGGAACATAAATGGATAGAAACAGGAATATGAAATGCAGTATTAAAATAACGTGAAAAAGTTTCATGTCTCATGTTGGATGGTAACATGGTTAGGTGAAATAAATACAAGAAAGCCACCGATTGATGTAAGTAATGCATACGATTTTAACAAGATTAAAGCTTTATTCATATCTACAGACACCGTACGTGGCAGACACATAACAGCACAGACATAAAAATATATTTTCTATGCGGCCATATCGGCCCATGCCTGTGCGGACACGATCTGCTCACGCGCGGTATATGTAAATATGCCCATAGAAAATGTATGTAATAATATTTTTATGTCTGTGCTGTTACGTATCTGCCACGTACGGTGTCTGTAGATATAAATAAAGCTTAACGCTTCTAGAATAATTGGTAAAGGGCGGAGAACAGGTGGGATGGTATTGATGAATAATAAAGAACTCAAGCATGTTGTGGTTCGTCTCTTTTAAGATTGGTTATTTGAAATTCGTTGGAAAAACATTAAGTTTATTTTTGTTTATATTAGAATAGAAGTTTACGTTAAATGTTTTAAATTACTTAAGACATTGTTTAATTCTTTTCAAAATAAAGACATATATTTATTGGGAGAATTTAACGGTAGAATTGGAACTCTGAATGAAATAAAATGAGAAGGTGATGTTTTCCCTTGTTGGATTATATTGTTTACCGGAGTTCGGAAGACAAATGTAATACAAGAGTGAATTGAAGTTAGTGGAATTATGCCAAGCAAAACGTCTGCTGATTGTGAAAGGTCAAGTTAAAAAAAATGTACAAAAAAATACACGTTTATCTGTTATTTCGGTAAGAGTGTGATTGATTGTTTCTGTATAAACGGTTTCGAAGTTGAGAATTTAAAGCATTTTGGTATAGATAACTGTATTGAATCCGATCATATGATGCTACATTTAAAAATTTCTGACAAAGGACTGAAAAAAGGGCTATGCTAGACAACCAGTTCAGTTTAATAGTCGTTGGAAGAAGGAATGGCAGGATTCGTTTGTAAGTGAAGTACAAGATATTTGTTGAAACAGGCAATTTAATGACAAAGCAAATGAATTAAATGAAGTAAATGTTATGGTGTCCGGTATAGTGGAGAAATGTAGACACAGTAAAAAAGAAATTAAACGCTTCTCTAGGTTTGTTTCAGGGTGGTTTGACGATGAGTATTTAGAACAAAAGGTTAATTTGAAAATTAATATGATATAATGGAGGAGTCTTGGAAAGACTGCAGGTTTAAACAATATCTGTTAGTGAAGCGAAATTTCAGAGCGCTTTGTATAAGTGAAAAACAAGGAATATCTGATTAGTTTTAATCAACTTATTTCAAACTGTAAGTATAATAAACGTTTTGGTAGTGTATTTGTAAACTGGAAAGAGTAAACTCTGTATTTCAAAAGAAATTAAAACTGATTTGTTTAAGCACTTCAAAAGTTTATTGTTCAGTGATAATCTAGTTCAGCGATTCCCAACCTGTGGTACGCGTACCCCTAGTAGTACGCGATAGGTTGTTTAGGGGTACAGAAAAAAGTTAGTTATCATGGCAGAAAAAATAATATATTATGTATCACAAACTAATAGTATTAAAAAATTATAATATGTTCCTTGCAGCAATCACAATTTTATTATACATTTTTTCATTTACTTTTTTTTCTTTAATTTAAAGTTACAATATGTAAAATTAACAATACGGGTACTCACTAAATTTCTTAAATGAGGGGTACAATCTAGAGATATGACATGTCACGGGGTACAATCTAGAGATATGACATGTCACGGGGTACAATCTAGAGATATGACATGTCACGGGGTACGCTAATGAAAAAAGGTTGGGAACCACTAATCTAGTTAATTAAATTGTTCGTTTAGAGACCTGTAAGTTATCTAGATACAAATATTTCTCATGAACTAGATTTTGTTTTGAGAGAAGAAAGGTCAGATAAAGCGGTTGGCCTGGACGGTATTTCGATGGAATGTTGGAAATTGGCTGACGAGCGATTAAACTAGAAATTGTTTGACATTTTTAACAAAGTTTTGGTAACCGGAATATAGTGTAATAGCTAGAAAATGGCGAGAATATTTTTCATTTTCAAATCAGATGATGTAAACAATGAAAGCAATTATAGAGGAATAGCTCTGTTGAACACAGTTAGTAAAATCTTCTCAATGATCCTATGTAAAAAACTGTTATTATGGGAAGAGAGTGAGAAAATCTTGTCAGAGATGCAAGCGGGTTTTCATATTATACAGTGGACCATATATTTGTTTTATGGAATTTGTTAAAAGTAAAACTTGCAAAAAAAGTCGAAAAGTGTATACTTATTTGTAGATTTTAGGGCTGCATTCGACTCAGTGAATCATCTGAAATTATGGAGATTTCTAATTCAAGTTACAAAATTGTAAATCTATGAAGATTGATGTACACGAACACGTCTGCATTTAATATAACATATTTAACATAAAAATGTTTGTTTTATCTTTTTCTCTTTGATGATGTATTCATTTCTATGTCAAATAAATTTATTCTCATTGTCTGTCCTGATGTAGTATTGTTTTCAGTTGTATTAATTTTTTACGTTATGAGTTTCATAGATTCGTTTTGTAGTGTTGAATATTTGATTTGATACATTTTGATGTAGTGTTGTTTTAGAGATTTAATTGTTTTTTACTTGTGTTGGTGTATTTTTTTTTACAGGTGTTTATTTTTTCATTGAGATATTCTGTGTGTATTTGTTTAACATTTTACCTTATATTGATTAGTGTGATATTGTTCTCAGGCGTTTGTGTTGTATATCTTTTATCAAGTTCTGCTCTTTAATTTTTCGTTTTTGAGAAACTCTAAAATAAAAGCAAAATGTATAAAGAAGGCAACTGTTTGAAGAATTTAAAAAATTGTGTGTAAACACTAAAAAATGTATAACAATTTAGGAAGACAACGTGACAAGTCAGCAAAAGTATTTCAATATCGGCTGTGAAGATAGAAAAAAAACACCATGGTTGATTTGGAAAGTACTGCAGATGTTAGTGAGTTGATAAAGGTATTAGAGTAGTGGAATGTAAATGGTCTGAGTTCGTAAGGTGAATTCAAAAATGTAAGATATCAGCGATGTTGTGTAATAATTTCCCATATTGTCATCCATACAATTAATTACAGATGTAAAAAGAGCGTCGTATTATATTTACTGTTCTACTGATACGACATTTAATATGGTACCACCGTGTATCAATTGTATAGAAGAAGATATTTTCAGGTGAGTTATTAAAAAATGTATAGAGTAATTATTTCATGAAATTATGACGTAAAATATTACTAAAATACAAGCTTCGATACTAATTGAAATTGGCAAAACACCTTATTATCTCTTATCAAAATCCTTAAATTAAACATTACGATATTAAAGGAAAGAAATGTGTAAAAATAAAGCTACTCATCCTGATTCTTCCGTTTGGCATCCGTAAGAAAAATGTCAAAAGAAAATTCCAAGTTGAAGCGCCGTTAACCTGAAAATAATATTTTTGTAAAACTTTGAAAAAAATTTTATAAGACAAAAGATGATCATTTACACAATTGATTCTGCTTAAATTATAAATCAATTGATGACACTCACCCTGGCGATAGTGTTCCTTTAACTGTTTTATTCCACTTCGATTCTGAAATTAGACTTAACTGATTAGACCGTTGCTTATTTTATCTATATTTGGCAGAATTGATCTTCATGTATATCAATTATATAATAACAATGACAATAAACAATAAACAAGACGTTGCTTGTTTATTGTTACAGAGGACCGCTTGTTTTTATTTTCTGTATTTCGTATTGTTAGTTATACACGAAATATCGCTTATAAATCTCGGAATTAAACTAATTTCCATATAAAATTATATTTTACGTAATATACGTTAAGAGGATTAAAATTATTTTTTTAATTAATCAGTGTCTAAACCATTACACATTTATTGCACGTTTATTTGAATAATATCAGGGGAATTATTGCAATTTAAATTAAAAGTAACTCAAATATAACGAAAATCTCAGTTAATTATTATTGCCTTACTGTCCTTATTCAATTTCTTATTATATATTTGTCAACATGGACATTAGTCATTAACAGGACAATTATTAAGAATATGCAAGGTGAAAAACTGTCAAAAGAAATAGAAAGATTCAAGACAGAAGTGTCGTACTTGAGAACTTGTAAAAAGAACAAATAAGACTATCAGCATTAAGCTTACCTGTGAGTATAAGCAAAATTTTGCAAAAACATGACAGGTAGATTAATAAGGAAAGTCTGTTTTCTTTAAAAACTTTTCATCAATTCTTGTGTAAATGTCCTGTTAACGATTAATGTCCATGTTGACAAATATATCATAATAACGAAAATATGTTTATAAATCAATCTCACAATTTACTTCAACAATAATTTGTATACATTTATCAACTTGAAGACACGAAAATGTACCGAGTCGAAGCTCTATTCCTATTTACTCAATATTAATTACATAAACAAAAACAAAAGATTACTTACTTCCGTGAGACACTTGCCAAATCAAAATATTTTTCAAAACTTCTTAACTGAAAAGAAACAACAATGAAAATTAACTGAGAGCTTCATTTATTTCGGATACAAACAATACGAAAACGGACAATTGTAAAGTATTGTTAGTTCAGTACTACGTCGCATCAAGTGCGTCACTTAATACGTCGAATATTCTACGATAAACCATTTAACTCATCAGTATGAATGTTCCATAAGCTTTAAATTTCGTATAATTCGGATACGAGAAATTATCTGTGCGCAACATTTCAATTATGTTTACAGTTCGTTATATCGTAAGAAATAGCGTAACGATTACTTTGCTAAAGACTTTTAGAGAATGCACAGAAGTTGAAGGAAAATAATACAACGTGATTTTGTTCCATAATGTTACGATATTAACAGAAACGAAAAAAAAATTCTTGTCTTTAGTGTCTTCGGATTTCGGGAAAAACGTCACAGAATGGCTAAGGTTTCGGAATTGTAGTTTGACCGAATGACGTTATCAGACATCACTTCACAACATATTCACGCTTCTACAGTCTAGTACAATACTTCACGACAAAAAGAATCTTAAATAACGCTGCACAGAAATTACTCCTAGAGTTTTTTTGTGTTTTAGAATTTATTTTTCATTCAGTCGTATGTTTTGTTTCGCGAAAAATACCTCTTGTTTCTTTCAGTGATAGTTCCGGATTCAAATAATTCCTCTTATCTCTATCTCTAACGAAACTTCCAGTAAAACATTATTTCAAAGTTTTCCGAAGGTGTTTTCGGTAACTTTCTTAAAAATTAATTTTTTTTCGTTAATCTGAACTTTACTGTTATTGATTTTATTCGACATATTTCTGCTAGTATTATTGAATTCAGCTCTTAATACGTCAGAAAGTGTTTTGTTTCTAATCGATGTTTGAAACATCGCGGGATCGTTAAACGTAATTTTTTGCAAATACAAACATATACGACGGGCCAATGTTTAGAAGAAGCCGAAAATTTTTTACGTTTTTGTAGGTTAATGAAATAAATTTAAAACAAGTCAATAGATAGATGTGAGGGTCGGACCGAATAAAATTAAATTAAATATAGAAGCTCAAATTAAATTAAATGTATTTATTAAATTTAAACAAAGAAAAGCATCATTTTTTCTTTTTCGAAAAAGGATGTACACATTTCCTTCCCACGGAGCCGTTTCGTATCTTTCAGAAACCTGAAAATGAATCATGAGGAACTTATCCTAAAAATTGACGATTGGCGAAAACCAGTAACGTGACGAAAGGTATAAAAGAGGGCTGACGACGAGAAAACGGGTCCGTCGTCGCCGTCCGTGAACACGGGCCGTCGTCACCGTCTGTGATAAGGGATCCTCAATTTTGGATTTCTTCTAAACGCCTTTAAGGCTATCGTTTGAAAATAAGTGCATGTAATACATATGAAAAAATTCTTTTTGTCATTGCAATATTTTCATTAGTTTATTAGTTTCAACTTTTTATTGGATAATACTGTTTGTGATGGAATACGTTTTGCACACACTGATGTATTTATTCATTATGTTATTAATGATTTTCAGGTAAGACGGCATTACTTGTTTCATTTGAAACAAATTTTGTCATTGATTTGCTTATACGACTGTATCTATGCCGTATTACTAAGTTTACGCGTTTGATTTTTATTCTTCATAAGAGAAAGAACTGTACACGCACAGTTGTTTTTTACACGATTTTGTTATTAATTTCAAAAATAAATTGAAACTGTTAATTTTTTCAACGTTCATATTCTAATATTCGATCTTTCTGGATTAACTCTAGATTAATGCTGTCTATAATTATAAAAGCCACGTATTTTTCGATTAATTTATATCAATATTTACATTCTGATTCCTTACATAAATAATATGAATTTACGAAAACATTCTGTTTAATGATTATGTCAACATTGTTGTTTGTATTATAAAAATAAGAAAAAATGAGGACTTCTAATTGATCTACTACGATTAAATTGTTCTAGGTTACATAATTATTATCGTAGATTGAATGATGTTACGTCATTTATTCACACTTGTGAACTAATGCTGATACATAATAAGCTATTTTCGAACTTTAGGATAAAAATCTAATCTGGTGAAAGAGAAATATTAATCTAGTGATTTCCATTATTTCTACTGGATTGATATTTTGACGATCTTTATTCTAACGCGTTAGAAATGTTAAAATTACGAGAACTGTTTGTGCTATTAGCAGGTGTACAAGCCGAAGATGTATTTCTATTTAGTATTTCTCTGATCTGCAGCAGTATGTTGAATATGCTGTAAAAGTTGTTATACACCTAAAACGATAGGAAGAAACAAATATCAATTGGAAAACTATAACTTGTGTGTTTTTAATAAAGAACTATTTATTTTTTATTACAATTGAAGACACGAGTGGGTTTTTTTCGGTTTAAATACATATCTACGGAATAATGTGTCTTATTACGTATAATAAATTTTTGAGATTGTTTATGAAATGCAATCAAAAATGACAAAAGCATTATATTTCCATCTATGCAGCACTGTCACATGTACGATGTACTGTACATAAGATAACACATACATCTCTTTGTGTCTTCAACTTTTATGTTTACTTATCTTAAAAATTACATTTCGAATATAATTAACCCGTTTATAATTTCATTATACACCTATAGTAAACGGGAAATATATAGTAAGCAGACAGGAACAGTTTGTTCAATAACTTTAATAAATGACAGGCAGAAACAACCTGGTCACACTTATGTTACCAGCAATTGCTTCGATCGGTAAAGATAATGCAATTCTTTTTGCCTCTCATAAATAAAGGTTTTTCGTAATAAACAAAAATGTTTTCTTTGATTTTTAAATTTTCTTAAAAGCCTCTGGGAGCAATACAAAGTGAAAAGAATTTACTTTTTAGCAGAGAGGGAACAAAGTAGCGCGACCTTATCAATTAAACTTACGTGCAGTCAGACGATAGGCCATTTGCCATATGGTAAACTGCTAAAAAACGTATAAAACTGACGGACCTGAGTGTAAGCTGTTCGGCAAGAAAAAGTTATGATTGGTCGAAAGTCCCAGTCCAAAAAACTTTTAAATTGTGGAGCGAATGGGAGGAGGAGGAGAAAAGGGCAAGAGACTGGTAACAAGGTAATTTCACACACTTGGGAAGCCCGCTGAGCTTAGAGAGAGCATTCTTCTCTGGTAACTATCTCAGGGACGAGTAAGTGCGAAGACGGTTGAGCTAATCCCACAAGCTGACTGAGGCCTCTCCAAAGCCAAACTACTACGTGAGGCACCACATTTTGTTATCCTGTATATTCTATAATTTCGAACTTGTACACTCTACATATAGAATATGTAATTAAACTGTAAATATTGTATAATTTGAGTGTGCAAGTGGGCTTTCCATCGAACCTGGATTACTATATCGAATCGTGGTATACACGGAAACCAACTCAACGAGACGGAGTTTGGGAAAGAACTTCACTAAGATCTTCACTCAGAACTTAGGCAACGAGATGGGATAAATATAAATACATTCTGCGGAAAGTTGAAAGAAAAAGAGTGTACAATTGAATTTTTCAGAAATGATAGTGTTACAAAATCTAGTGTTAGTCATACTACAGCGAGATAATTTACATTACTTAATTTATGCTATGGCATTAATGACTGTACAAAAGTCCCAATAAAGAGTTCATGTAAAATATACCCATTACAAACAATTGAAGATAAGAAAAGGCAACTTACCGTATTATCTTTCAGTTAAGCATTAGCCCTAGTTGTTAAATTGCATAATGCTTGTGTTTATCAGTTACTATCTAGTATTGTAAAGTCAAAGCTCTAAAAACAAAGAAGGGACACGGGTTAAAGCAAACATCTCCAGGTTTCGCTCCCATTGTAAAAAATTTTCCGGGTAGAAAACCCAAATCGATTAAAAACACATTTTTTTAAATGAAAAATTATTTAAAGTAATTGCATATGGTCATCTATCATACCATTTTGTTAAAAATAAATTATATATTATTGTATCTTTATATAAAGATGAGTTTTAAGAAAATTCTGTATGTCAATAACGAGAAAAGTTATCATTAAGTGTGACCCCACTTCAGATAAGACATACGCGNTACTGTATTATCTTATTAGTAAGTGAAAATCACTGCCACCGGCAGAGATACAGTACGAAATACCTTTTTAATTTGAAATAAAATTCAAAAGACTTTTTGTTTGTACAGTGATTTCAAATAATCGAATTAATTCTTGAAGTTTAAATTCTTCATATTATAGACAATATCTGCTCGGATTTATTGTCTATATTTTCATTTTATAGTTATCAGATTCTTTAACTCGAAGGACATTTTAAGGAATTTATACGAATACAGTATATTGCTGTTTAACGACTGTAATCATTGTATAACAGAAAATAGAATTTTAAGTTCTATTTCAATTTACGTCGTATGTCTAAAAATCAATCACTTCAATAACGCGTGTCTTGCTACAGAAGTTTATTCATTGGCAATTCATTTAATTTAATGAAAAAAGTTTAGAACAATTTATAACATACGCGCCATACCCTGACCTTTAACGACCGAAACTTAACAGCGTTCGTATTTTTTTATAAACAAGCTGCCATGCCAAATTTCGATTTTTAATCGTTACTCTAATTTTAGATATTAAAGAAAATAATGCCAACACAAACACACAAATCGAAATAATTCTCCTCTTTTCCTTTGCCGTTTTGGGTTCAAAAAATGTCAAAGCGCAGATATTTGTGAAAAAAAACTTGGTAATACTTTCCTCTGTTACATAAATAACACATAGAAAAATATAATTTAAAAAGATACAAATATTTTTATGTATGTAGACAGTATATTATATATATGTATATGTTTATGTGTTGTTGGCATCAATTTCCTTTCATGTATTCAAGATGGGATAAAAATTAACAAACAAAACTTGGCGTGGTAAGTTATATATAAGAGCATTGATGCAATTAGATATGGAGATAAAGAAATACAAAGATATGATTTCTCATAGCTCAAGTGGGATTAAACTTAATAAAAATTTTACACTCGTTTTTGGCATTCTCACTTATATAAAACTCGTCTTTTCCATCAT